GCCAGACCAACACCGGCCATCAGGCAGATTCTGCCTTGCGGGTGACACTTTGCCGAGCCTTGGTGTACAGGACCCTGTGTTTTGGGGTCTACCTTCCTCTCCTGCCTTGTGTCCCCCAGCCCCCCTCAAGACCATGGTCATGAAGGGTTAGCCCTCTGACCCCTCCTGTTCTAAAGCATCTCCTGCCCCATGTCCCTTCCAAAGTTACTCTCTGTCATATAACCCAGTTTTTTTTTCCCTAAACAAGACTGATCAATATCTGTAATTATTTTGTTTATTTGTGTCTTCGTTGTCCCAACTCCAGGAAAGCAGGGAACTGGCTTTTTGATTTGCCACTGCAGCTCCAGCTTGCTGCCTGCTAGGAACGTAGCGTTCAATCAATGTCGTAGGATAAAGAATAAATCCACAACCTCAGTATCTTGGTTACTCTCATACAATGAGTATGATCTCATCAGTGATACCTGACCTCCTTACTTTGAAAAATTGTTTTTAGGATCAAATGAGAGTGGGTTTTTCAAACTACAGACAGTTACACGAAGGGACGGTGGTAAAATCATTAAGGCAGCCTCTTAGAGAAATCACAGAATTCAACCAACACACCCACTTGTACCATTCTCCTCTTATGGGGAGAAGAGGAAAGTGGTTCCAGTATGAATGAGGCCATTTTTATTCTTTGTCCCTGAGGTTCCCCACAGACAAAAGGAATGGCTAGGTGTGTGGCTTTATCTTGGCCTTAGGAAACGCAATTATTTATTTATTAGCAGGTAGTATCTTTTTATTATTAGCTTGTAGTATTAAGTATTTTATCTCATTTGATAGTCACAAACATGCCATAAAAAAAAACACTATGTGCCCGTTTTCACAGGAGAAACGAGTGTAAGGGACTAGTGAGCAGTGGAGCCAAGACCATAACCTAGCTCTGACTCTAGCATTAGGGCTCCTTCTCTGGTCCAGTATCAAGCTCCTCTCCAGTGATGCACAGACTTTCTGATTTGTCCCATCAACACAATGACAACCAGCAAGCTAAATAAACCTTGGCATACTTTTGTGGCCAGGAGCAAGGCATCTGGGTTTTAGATGTTTATTTTCAACCAAAGTCTTCTGAAGGAAGACTGCTTTTTGGTCCTCACCTTAAAAAAAAAAAAGATGTTTTGCTGATTTCAGCTTAGACAAATCCAAAGCACAAAGATTCATTTTCTCTGGATGTGCAGGCAGCCTTTACATACATCACAAAAGGGCAAAATGAGCTTGGGAAGCTGCCAAGCAGAAAACAGCTGAGAACAGCCACAGGACGCACCAGAGCTTGGTCTTTTCATCTGATATGAGCATTAGCTGTTGCGTTTCCTTGGTAAGTGAACCCTGCCAGGGTAGTAGCCAGTTGTGCCAATGAAGATCTGTGTTCATGTTCTGGGCATACATTTGCACACATGGCTTATTTTAAAAAACCTATTAGCTTAACATATCATTGCTTCAAAAATGGGGTCTATGGCTTTTTGTTGTGCAGAACCTAGTTTGAACTGGGATTTTCCTTTCTCTTGCCGGAATCCTCTCTCTGGAGTGTTCCTGGTGCACCTCCTGCTGGTGGGTGGTGGGGAGGGATGAAGGTTCGCATGTGGGGCACTGGACGCCTTCTGGAACTTGCTGTTTCGCTCCTGGATGGGTTTCCACCTCTGCAGCCGGGACGACTGAGACAGATGCCCAACTAGAAGGGACCAGAGACCCACGGTGCTGCCCGGGCATCCTCTCTTTTCCATCAGTAGCAAGAGCCCCTCTGGCCCCTCTGAGGGAAGAATCCCACTCTCAGTGGACATTTATGCAATGATAATGACCACAGTAACATCTGAGGACATGATTGGAGAAGAGACCACTCGGAATGTAACATGAGATCGCTCTGGATCGAGTGAGGACACAGTTTCTCTTTATTAAATCATCTGTGAACCACTTAAACGGAGATGCCCATGGAATGGGATGAACTAATTACAGTGCTGCCAGAGTGTATCTGGAGGAAGAGCACGCAGCCAGGACAGCGCAGACGCCACAGGTCGTTTACAAGGAACTTGACAATACAATTAAGTGTGGTTTCCTTTTTCATAATTACAAACCCTTTTCAAATAAATACACCTGAATCACAGAGGGACAAAAAACTGATACAATAGCCTTATAAAAGAGAAAGAAACCAATATACTTCCTCAGACAGCAGGTTTAGAATGGTCTATGCGTCACCAAAATGGTGTTCCCATCTTGAGTGGCAATCAAAGAGAGAACCAGTACACATTTCCCATTATACATATATACGTATCCTGTACAGAGTCCAAGAATGAACGGCTGCAAAATTCCAGTTTCTGTGTGAGTAATGGTGACTAAATGGTACGGTGTAAAATGTGTAGGAACTGTTTGCATATTAAGTTTGACTATTCATCATTAACATTGTAAGCCTACATACACTGAACATAATATTATATGTGTTTAAAAAGCAAGTGACTTCCTCTACATTTAGAGGCGATTTCTCCCCTCCCCTTGAATTTTTGTTATAGCTAGTCACTTCCCTAGGAAAATTCAGTGGGTTGAAGTATTAAAGAGAAGCAAATCCAATTTTAATCCTATGTTTAAACACAAAAAGCATCTGCCATCACCTAACAAAATATCCCCACCCCCCCATCACCTTTGTAAAGTGAACATTAACCTAAGTAGATACTAAATCACTCTTTTCCCCACCCTCCTCTGCCAGTCTCATCCCTGGCAAGGCAGCCTGGCTGACTAGACTGGCCGTCGCTTAGTTCTCACACGTGTGCAGAACTACAATTTAAATGCAAATAACCCAGTGCCTCATTATCTGAGAAGCTGGTGCAGACACAGTACAGTTGTGACTGTGCCTCTGAAAATTAAAGGAAGTTCATCTGTATTCTAACACACGCATTACTTAGAATAAATTCAAAAGAGCAATTCATCACTGCGTTCAAATTTAACACCGGAGTTGCAGAGCGCCTAGGTTACGAGGAATGCCTCCCTTTATACCACAACGAGATAGGAACATTTCTTACTGTAGTTCTTCAGTTAGTTCCCAGTGACACTAGGTAACTGACATGAGAGACTTCATTTAATACCAGCACAGCTTATTGAATGGAAAAGATACATTTATGGTAATGCGGCTAAGCACAATGGGATGACAAATATATGCATTCCAAATACTACTGACAGGAACATGACCACATCGGCCTAAAATGCAAGGAAATTATCAACAATGATTTACCAAACTGACATCACTCCAGAGGATATTTTTTTTTTATTTTCATTTTTTGCAAAATTGTCTTTCAAATATAAGGTTACTTCAAAATAATTCTTTGGTTAAAGTATCATTAAAATAAAAACTAGAAACTCCTCCAAGCCTTTCAACACAGGGTGAAAAATACCCCCCTCTTTCAGCCATCAGATGGCCATTTAATCAGCCATTCAGATTCTATGAATCTAAATGTAATGGAAAACACTGTATTCTGAACTCCATGCTGGGGTGAAGCAGTAAGCTCCTAGCTACCAGTGCAGGGATGGAGAAGAGAGCCTGGGAAAATGAGACCCCCAGCTTGTGCATTAAAATGTGCCAATTATTCTAGTCCACAGAGGAATAGACGTGGCCTTTTAAAACCACTGAAACCAAAGTCTATCTATGAATAATACTGGGCCATTAGCGGGTTGATGTCTCACTGGTACAGGCAGCAAACGTTTCAGACTTTCAGTGTCAGATTAAATCCTTTAGTTAATTTCATCTCAGTGTATTTCAGATAACTTGCTACATTAAAAAAAAAATTCCTCTCTGCAGGAAACCATTTGGTTCTTCTTATCTACAATTTCCTTCCTTTCTCCTTTGTTTCCTCCCTCCGTTCCTCCCTCCTTCCTTCCTTCTCTCTCTCCCCTAGCCCCACCAAAATATTTGTAAATGAGCATCAGCCTCAGATCAAAGAGAATCAGCTTTAAACTTTGAGTTGTAACAGCAATTGAGAATTTTTAGGTGGGTATGAAATCACGGTAAGTCAGTTGTCTGTTCCTTTTATTACACATAGACTCACCGTGACTTACAAAGAATTTCTCAGTTGGAGTCCAAGTTTAGTTTTTTAAGTAGGTAAATGTGAAAAGAGAATTTAAGGTGAATTCAGATCATTCAGGCCATTTTAATAAGCAATCTGGATAATGCAGAGGAATAAACTCTTTTACTCAAGGTGTTTCCACCTAAATTGTTCAGGAAATTATTTCTGATCTCTGCCTTCCTTTGCTCATGAAGATGACTGCCTAAGGTGCTGTCCGTATTGGACTAAATATGGGGACTGTAGCTCAGCTAAACCTACCTAAGGCCACTGAAAGGGAGGGAGAGGATAACTTGCTTTGAACTTTGTTCTGTACAAGTACAGACCCTGCCCAGGACACACTGCTAGAATTTTCAAGGAAATCAGATATGAGATGTTAAAGCCTAAAGGAATAACTGGCGGTGACTTTTCTCTTAAAACCTTTAATATGAGTATTTCCCTTATTTTAAGATTAAAATTTCTATCTTAATCAGTAACATCGGCACAGAGTTATTTCTATACCCAGAAGCTGGGTCAGTGTTTGTGCAGTGTTGGAAGAAGTCAAAATATGTTTCTTAAAATGTAAAATTCATGACATATTTCTCTCAATGACTTTTCAAAAAGCCAAGAATAACCCTCTTGCTGATTCACATACATACCAGCATCCTTTCACTTCCTCTTCTTTTAAAGGATTATCAAATTCTTGTTTCAAATAGGAGCATAGATCTCTTTTTATATATACCATATGTTTTATGCATTTGGGTTTTGAAGCTTATTTAATGCTATAATATATACTGGTTTGTTTTACATGAATGTTCTCTTTCAATGGCTGGGATTTCATTTTGCACATATACTCTACAGAGTGAACTATACCATGCCAGACTGTTGTCTGCTGCTGTTAATAGTCAGGTAGTCACACAATTAAATAGACATTGATAACTGATGTTTTGGTTTGATTGTCATTTATTTTTCTTTTAAATAAACTGCCTCTAAATTTAGGAAGCAAGTGTGATAAGATACCACAGGACGTGGCTCTCCCAGCTTTCCTTAAGTAGCCCTACCTATGTATTTTAAATTAGCATAGGAAAACAAACAAACAAACAACCCCCCCCCCAGCACTAGTAGCAGTGCAGTCGTGACTGTCATCACTTAAGTTAGTTCCCTGACTTCATCAGACATCCCTGGCTGTAACTGATTCATCTGTGGATGTTCTGCTGTGGCTGGCATGTACTGTAAGCGTACAGTGACCTGACCCTTGGTATGGCGTGGAAAGATGTCCGTATTGCACAAGGATGAGCTTCTTGCTGAATCAAATGATGTATTTAACATACATCTTTTGGAAATGTCAACACCCCTAACTAGTTAACATGGTCTAGACCCTTGGGGCAAAGACAAGCAAATCACGGTTGAGGAAGGCTGTGGCTCCTTGGGCTACAACACGGGTAACTCCAAGCCACTTGATACCTTGCAAGTTCTTTGCTCCTACAATTGAATACTTCACACATTAGTCTTCCTCCTGAGTATCCAAAAGTGCTCTGGAGACCGAAAATGCTTTGTCTCCCCATTTCACAGATAGAAGCAAGGGGGCAGGACCATAGCAAAAAGCTGCAGTCAGCTGCGCTAGAGAAAGTGATGAGGCGGGAAGGTGAGAGTCCTTAAGCAGGCGTCCTGAGCCAGCAGCACTGGTGCGTGGGTCATTGTGAGGGTAGAAATTGATGGGAAACCTAAGAGCAACTCTCGGTTGGGGGTTGTTTTCTAATAACCATAAAAGAATTCCTCAGTTTGGCTTTAACTGGAATACGGAGTTGAAAAGAACCTCCTATCACCAAACTGGCAGCTCGGTGTCCCTCTAGCTGGATTGTCCTGCATCCTTCCTCTTGCGTCCTTCCTCCTGCGTCCTTTCTCCTGCATCCTTCCCCGGAGTGGGCTGGCAGCTCTCTCTGGGAGAACTTAGGCTCCTTGGCCAGCACAGTCGAAGGGGAGAAGACGTCCTATGCTGTTGCAGATGCCCCGATTTAGGAAGACAATTCTCGAAAGCCTTGTTAGCTAGGCAAGAGTCCAGAGAGAATGAATTTTATCCCTGAATCAAGTCTTTCTCTCCTTGACATGGTCTCATCCTAAGAACCTTAAAGCCTGAAAGGAAATATGCTAAATTATTCTGAGCTGTCCACTGAAAACGTGGTGCAGACTTTCCCACTGTGACTAAACACACAAAAAGGTACTTCTCCCAAAGCCTTCGTCAAGCGTTTCCTTCTTGTTCACTTGTGTGGTTTATTCTTGTAGCAAAGTCTCTCTCCAGTTGAAGCCTCCAGTTGGTCCATGGGTGAGAGGAAGGATGGGTGGGTCTGTCAGCTGCCATATTCCAGTTTCTCCTAATTCTTCACAGGAACAAAACCCCAAGTATGGGATCTGAAGTAAGAAAGGGAAAACAGAAAACAGACATTTTAATGTGTTAATTTTTACCTAGATGAAGCCTTATTGATAGCAATGAACAGGGGCTTTGTAGGCAAGAATCCCCTCCCAAAAACCAATGAAAACAAATGAAATGGATAAAACTGATAAATCAGAAGAGAGAGTATTTACAACACAAGAGGATTCTTCAGGAGGATTCACTAAACGGTGAGCTCTCCTAGTGCAATTAAGTAATTGTTTATATAGGTTGTTTCTTAATAGCATGGGAGAAAAAAAGGAAATAATACATAAAGCTAAGATGCTAGGAGTTAATTCCTAATTGCAAGTCAGGCTGAAAACAGCTCAAACATTTCTGAAATTATATTTGGAGAATGGGAAAGATTATTCAAGTTTTAAAAATATGTTTCACCCTGCTTGATCCTTTTTTTTTTTTTTGGCGTGTGTACTTGACATTCAGAGCTGAGGCTGTGCCCTTCCTAACTTCAATAGGCATGGCATTTCAAAACTTATGTGTGTGTGTCTGTCCAGAGCTGCATTTATAAATAAGACAAAAAAAAAATCTCTGCCCTCAAGCATTTTACAGATGATTGGGAAGGACAGGTGCATAAATAAGTTTAAAAAAATGAGAAAATTGCAATCGAGTTTGAAGCAGGTTCTCTGGGAACAGATACAGGAAGCATAGAACTCAGTCTGGAGGGAAGCGTGTGGGAAGAGGGCTGAAGGGAGAACCTATTCCACAGGCATAGGAGGAATCCAGGTCAGCCTCGTGGGTTTTCTATCTCGCTGCCTTGTTCCTGGGTTGGCAGGATAAAGAATCCACAGCTCCTCAGGGAAATCCAGACAATCTGCTTATGACTCTTAGCTGTTTCCCAAGGTTTAGCTCTTAGAAGCTAGCACTAGCTCAGACATCTTTTTCTCCTACCCCAGGCCTGAGAAAGTGACTTAAACAGAATACCGCTCAATACGTCTTGGCTGAGTGAACCGATAAATGTTATCTCCCCACTCAGGATTCAACACGTGCTCCAAAGAACTTTGCTATCAGCCGGCGCTGAGCTGTCCTAAAACTACAAGGCGCCACGGGCCCCTGAAATACAAGTAGGAATTACCTTTCGGACCATTTGTACGAAGTCCTTGGAGTTCTGAGGTGACAGGCCCTGCAGTTGGCAGGTACACGCTTCAAGTGAAGATGCATGGGCCACAATCAAGATGTTATTTCCTGGGGGGGAAAGAAAACCAAGGACTGGGAAGACTGTTTCTATAAAAACATATGTAAGCTTTTTAAGTACTGAAGCCGAGTGTTCCAGGGAGAGGCAAACATTCTCAAGACGGAAACAATTTGGCCAAACAATATTTTCAGAATGCTTTTGTATTGTTAAAGCAGCCTAATCCCATTACAAAAGAAACCCCACAAAACTGAAAACTGCTTTTAATGTCAAAGTAATTAGATTCACAGGTTACAAATACATATTATACATATCTCTGTGTGTATATATTTTATACAATATATACATATTATGTAATATGTATATTCATATACATTAATACAAACATATATACACACAATATGTATATTGTATACACACACACACACACACATCCTTTCTCTTTCTCTCTCACACACACACCGGGGAGGGCCCATGCCCCCTTCACCCAGCCTCCTCCAATAGTAACTCCTTGCCTCACTAAGGCACACTATCAAAACTCGCAAATGAACACTGGTACAATCCACATAGCTTATTCAGATTTCACTAGGTTTACCCAAGTCTCTCACATGTGTGGCTTCTTGTAACCACCACCTCAATCATGACACAAAACTGTCCTACGTCGACAAGGCTCTCTGCTGCTCCTTGTAATTAGTTTTTGATGTGGCCATGGTAGGACTGTGAGCCCTTGAGACTTTCTGGTCAATGGAACATGCTGAGCATCCTTACAGCAGTTAGCACGGCGGGAGGGTCACAAAGTGCATGGCTTACAAGTGACAACTGAAAGGAGGGGACCGTCCATAATGCTGCTGACCAGGGCTCTCCACCGTTAGCATCTGCCGCATGTAAATCCAGCCTTTGCTCGATGAAGATAAATATTTTAACTTACAAGGGGGGGGGGCGATGTGCATACTCTTTTGCAATCTACCTGTTTTACTAAAAAAGTTATGGTCCTACTTATCATTAAATATTTGAGTTCAGTGATTATAAAATTCAACAGCAGACTTGAATCTTGTAACACTGCTCTCGGTTTGTGGTGGCAGGGACGGTAGGTGTGTTTGTGTGTGGGTGTCCGTGCTCCTGGGTCAGATTATAGGCAAAACTGTTACGTAAAGAACTGGAAACTGTAACAGGGAACCCTCTTCACAGAGTGGAAGATAAATAGCTGAACTGCAGAATTCTGTTATTTCATATTGTAGCTACGTCTGGTATATTTCCATGGAATCTCTCCCATTTGAGGTACTCAAGAGACTTACAAATTTAACATGAAAGGATCTGTAGCAGAGTCTGGAGATATTTTTCCTTCCTATTAAGCAAGTTTGGCAAAGTAAGCTGAAACATCTTGAACAGACTTAACCATGTTGCAGAAATGATCACATATTTAAGTATGGAGTTCAAAATAATACCTACCTTTACTTTTACATTCACTTATTATTTCTTTTGTTACTTGGAAACTTCTACTGATATAGGTGTCATAGGATTCTGAAACCACTAATTTGCTGACTGGAATATGAGGTCTATAATAGAAAAAAGGACAAAGGCAATGAAAACATTTTGATCCCAAGACAAAGCAGTTGCTATTACTCTAAACTGTATTTCAAGACCTTTCTAAAGTTCCCATATTTCTGTTTATCCATTTCCCTAGAAAGGATGGAGGTGGAGGGAACAGTACTTCAGCTGTAGAGAAGTGGGGTTGAAATGCACAGAAATAGAGGCCATGTGCACGGTGTCAGAGTGACCAGCTGGAAAACGAAACGTTCAGTGCAGGTTTCCCTTGCAGGGTAGCTCATACGCAGTTTGACTAATTTTGCCGACCATCAGTCCTAGGTCACAGATACAAGAGGAAACAAAGCAGAGGTGAGATCTCTTTATATGTAAGATCACCGGAGATTTCCCAGGCCTCTCTTTAGCAGTCTTACACATGATAAGCAGTAAGGATAAGTTTTACTTATTTAATTTTTTTCCAGTTTTATTGGGATATAATTGATATATAACATGGTGTAAGTTTAAGATATACAATGCATTGGATTCGATACATTTATACACTGCAAAACGATTACCATCATAGCCTTAGCTAACACCTCCACTGTGTCACATAATTACCATTTTCTTTTCTGTGGCGAGAACTTTTAAGACTTAACTCTCAGTAAATTTCAAGTATATAATACTTGTTAATTCAAGTATATAATACTGTTAACTGCAATCACAGTGCTGTGCATTAGATCCCCAGAACTTATTCACCTTATAACTGTAAGTTTGTACCCTTTGACCAATCTCTCCCCCCTCCCCCTCCCCACAGTCCCTGGTATGTTTGTGGGTGTCCATGCAACTCTGCTGTCTGTTTCTCTGAGTTCAGTTTTTTAAGGTTCCACGTATAAGCGATACCATGTGGAGATCGCTCTGGGAAATCCTGTTTTCATTTCCTCTGGATATACCCCAGAAGTGGGATTGCTGGGTCGTATGACATAGTTCTATTTTTAATTTTTTGAGGAACCTCCATACTGTTTTCCATAGTGACTACGCCAACTTATATTCCTTCCAACACTGCACAAAGATCTCTCTTCTCCACTTCCTCACCAACATTTCCTATCTCTTGTCTTTGATGACAGCCATTCTAAGAGGCGTGAAGTGGTATCTTACTGTGGTTTTGATGTGCATTTCCCTGAGAATTAGTGCTGTTGAACATCTTTTCATGTACTTCTTGGCCATTTGTACGTCTTCTTTGGAAAATATCTATTCTGTTCCTCTGCCCATTGTTCAATTGTTTTAACTATTGAGTTGCGTGAGTTTTTTTTTTACATATGTTGGATATTTACCCCTTATCAGATATGTGAGTTGCAAATATTTTCTCCTATTCTGTGGATTGCCTTTTCATTTTGTTGATTGTTTCTTTTGCTCTGCAGAAGGATTTTAGTTTGAGGTAGCCCTACTTATTAATTTTGGGTTTTGTTACTTGTGCTTTTGGTGTCATATCCAAAACATCATTGCCAAGACCAATGTCAAGGAGATTCCGCCCCATGTTTTCTCCTCGGAGTTTTATGGTTTCAGTTCTTTTAAGTCTTTAATCCATTTTGAGATAATTTCTGTGAGTGGTGTAAGCTAGGGGTCCAATTCCATTCTCCTGCATGTGGTTATCCAGTTTTCCTAACACCTTTTACTGAAGTCTACCCTTTCCCCACTGAGTATTCATGGTTCCCTTGTCAAATATTACCTGACTGTATACTTGGGGGTTTACTTCTGGGTTCTCAGTTCTGTTCCACTGGTGTATGTGTCTACTTTTATGCCAGTACCATACTGTTTGGATTATGATAACTTTGTAGCATAGCTTGAAATCAGGAAGTGATGCCTCCAGCCTTGTTGTTCTTCATCAGGTTTACTTTGGCTATTAAGGTCTTTTGTGGTTCCAAACAAATTTTAGGATTTTTATTTTCTATTTCTGTGAGAAATGCCACTGGAATTTTGATAGGAATTTTGTTTATAGATGGCTTTAGGTAGTATGGACGTTTAAATAATATTCTTCTGATCCATGAACATGGAACATCTTTCTATTTGTTTATGTCTTCAGTTTTCTTCATCAAAGTTTTGTAGTCTTCAGTGTACAGACCTTTCACCTCCTTGGTTAGTATTTTATTGTTTCTGATGCTATTATGAATGGGATGGTTTTATTTCTTTTTCAGATGGGCTGTGGTTAGTGTGTACAAACACAGTGGATTCCTGTATGTTGATTTTGTATCCTGTAAGTTTGCTGAATTTGTTGATCAGTTTTGACAGTTTTATGGTGGAGTCTTTAGGATTTTCTATATGTAAGATTATATCATCTACAAACAAAGATAATTGTACTTCTTCCTTTTCAGTTTGGATGCCTCTTTTTTTTCTTGCTTTACCCTGGCTAGTAATTCCCGTACTATGTTGAATAGGAGAGGTGAGAGTGGGCGTCCTTGTCTTGTTCCTGATCTTAAAGGAAAAGCTTTCAACTGTTCACCACTGAGTATGATGTTAGCTGTGGGCTTGTCATATACAGCTTTTATTATGGTAAGGTATGTTCCTTCTATATGCAATCTGTTGAACATTTTTATCATGTAAGGATGGTGTATTTTGTCAAATGCTTTTCTGCATCTATTGAGATGATCATATACTTTTTATCTTTTATTCTACTAAATGTGGTGCATCACGTTTATTGATTTTGTATGTGGAACCATCCTTGCATCCCAGGGATAAATCCCTCTTTATCATGGTGTATGATCCTTTTGATGTGCTGTTAAATTTGGTTTGCTAATGTTCTGTTGAGAATATTCGCCTGTAGTTCTCTTTTCTTGTGTTTTTATCTGGCTTTGGTATCAGGGTAATCCTGGCCTCATAAAGTGAGTTGGGCAGTTGTAAGGGTAAGTTTTAGCAGCAGATATTAGGTCCGTTAGATTTGTGAGCTAATAAAATCTTCACCAGCATTTTCATTTTCTTTCTCTTAGTCTGAACACAGACCACATAGCTGGCACTAGGAGAAACCCAAGGAACATAAAGATGAAGAAAACCCAATTTCTGTGTTTGAGGAGCTCTCAGTGTGTGGTTGTGGTGAGCAGGCTATTAATGTAAATGGTAATTATGACACAATGTACAAACGCATACAAGAGGATGATCAAAGCAGGCCCTCTTGTCCTGGTGACCTTGCATGTTTTCAGTCCCAACCACTTCTGTCTGCTACCACCTGCCTTCACTATTTAGTTTTCTGGTCTATGAGGTGTTGATCTTGTTTCTGAGTACAACTATGTCGTGTTTTCTTATTTTGTCGTTCATTGTTGGCATTTAGTGAGTGGAGGTGCTAGTGAGTTCTCACAGTGAATTCACATGGCACCTTCATCAGACTACATTGCTGCTCCTGCTGTTAAGATTTACCAAGAGAGTCCCATGTGTTAGGCTCTGTGCAAAGCACCCTACTTGTGTTCTGTGAATGTAGTCTTCCTAGCAAACCTCTTGCAAATCCTGAGTTTACAGATGACAGAATTGAGGCTCAGCAAGGCTGTAGCTGACTTGCCTTTGCTTATACCACCAGCAACTCTTAGAGCCCAGATCTGAACCTCGTCTATGATCAATGCCTGTAAAGTGATCCTCCACTTTGAGTGGCTTCTGGTAGCATCCTCCTCAAGGCTGTCCTTCTGTGCATGGAGGCCATTCCTTTTGAAGGAAACCTACCCTCATCTAAATACCATTCTCTCAGCAAGCACACGTCTCCTAGGAAGCAACCTTCTGACACTCACAACACCCCAGGGGATAGGGAGAGCCATGAATCACTGCTCATCAGGGATGTGCCTCATTGTTCTGGAGCAAACTCTTCCCATCCCCACTTCTCACCCAGTTCCATCACCATGTCCATCACCTGGGCTCCCAGGAGTGCCACCCCCTTCCACTGTGACAAAAGGCCTCCATATGGCCCAGGGAGTCACTGCAAGGGTGAAACCATGTTGTAATGTATGAGATCTGTGTAAGTGAAGAGTTGGAAGGTGCCAGATGCTAGGATCCAGTTCCTTCTGATCAGTTCCTGCCTTGAAGCTGAACCTATGAATGGCTTCCATGTTTGAATGAGTCCTGATGGGGATGGGACAGTCGAAGCTCTCTCATTCCTGTGAGCAGCATGCATCACGCTGCCAGCCACAGCTGCAGGACCCACGTACGGTTCTTAGAGTCAGGTGGGTCTCCAACCACCACCTAGACCTGGAACCCACAGCTCGGGCTACTCAGGTGGTGGCCTTGAAACAGTGTGCTCCCCAGTACCCTCGCCACTCCCCAGCCTACTTCGGTCCAGGTTGTAGAGCAGGCTGCTGCCCTGAGCCCCACACCTAAGTCTGAGCTCTTCTCCTCTGTTAGGCTAGGGCCATGGCCCCCTCCCTCCTTGGGGCAGGGCCCTGTTCTGAAGCCCCATCCAACTGATATGCATTTGGCTTTTTCTGCCTTGCTCCCTTCCACTGGGGCTGCTTTCTACAGCCAGCCCCCAGGCTGGGTCTTGCTGCTTGTGGATAATGCTTGGATATTAGTCACCAGCCTGGTAAGCGTCCTTTAACCCAGCTTCCAGTCCCTCCTCCCTCCTGTTCAAGGTGACAGGGATCTATAAGCAGTGCTATGTGATCAGCAATCCCTCGGCTATTGGTCCTCACCCCTCTGCCCAGAACCATGTTTGCTCCACCATCTGGGCATCACTACTTGCTTCAAACGGCCTGCTCACTTGGTACCACTAACTTCACTGGGAGTTTGACTCCTGGGGCTGTGCCTCTCACAACTGATTTAAAGAATCGGAGGCTTAATTTTTTTGCCTCCTCAAACACAGAATGGTTGAAATGAAATTTTTTTAATGGAGAAAAAGAAAATCTGGAATAAGGACCATGTCCTGACCCCCCGGGTCCCTGGCATTCATCCTTCTGTTTGTACTAATGATGGGGTGTGTGTCCATGTGTGCGCTGAAGGGCTCAGATAGAACCATTCTGGAGACCTTTGTAAATAAATAAGCTTGGGAAGAAATGCAGGAAGAACTTAAGGGGAAATCTGAAGACACAGTTGGCCTGGGAGGGGCTGGGTGGTGTGTGAGGAAAGTCATTTCACCAATGTCGGCAGGAACTTGCTCTCTTTGCAGGCCAGAGGGATGGTGGCTGTTGGCATGGGGACAGTAATTTCTTGCTGTTTCCCCAGGGAACAAAAAACTGTGGCCATAGAGTGGATTGGACAAAAGGGGAGTTATTTCAGGAGGGGATCCAATTAACTGATTTAATCTTATTTTTGAGGCATGATAATTCCTTTAAAGCAAGAAGTAGCACCCATTGATTAATTAATGAGGTTACCCGAGGTCTTATTTCAGAGCCAGAAATTAGTATGGAAAGGAAAAGAAAAGATCTTCTCTCCTACCTTAGCCAGAAACTCACGTTGCTTCATTTGAGGTTTGGGTAGGTATTTGTTTTCTAAAATTTTTTTTCTTAATGGAGGCACTGGGGATTGAACCCAGGATCTTGTGCATGCTAAGCATGGGCTCTACCACGGAGCTACATAAACCCCTCCCCCTGGGTAGGTATTTGAAATGAAAGTTCAAGGGATATCACAAGGGAGTTCTGCTTATATTGGTCTCTTGTTTCAAATTCTGTTCTAAGAAATATGAGCTTAATTCCCCCACTATAATGGTTGTGAATATCTGTCCCTCTTCAAAGACATTTTACAAATGCCTGAGTGGATATTTTGATAGTTAATGTAAATACGTTGCAGTCTACAAACACTTCTATTTAGTAACAGTCTGGTCTGATGGAAACAGCAGAGGACGACTATTAAGCAGGTTACACACTGCTTGACACGTGGAAAATGATCAATAAAGGTCAGTTATCATTATATTGTCAGGTGTCCACTCCACGTGTAACTTTCGGCAGGCCACTAAACTCTCATCTGTGAAAGTGGCTTGCCTCCACCCTGGGGTTATGGCAATCATGAATGAAGATAATTAAAAATGCTTTCAAAAATTGAAAGTGACAGTCCAAGGCAAGACACTGTCATTTCCCAAGGAGCTTCTGAACTGCATTATCTTTGCTGCTGCATGCGCCTGGAATGCAAGGTGGTTTTATTGGTCTCACTTAAATAGATACAGTCAAGTCAGAAAACCCCTGTAGGTGTGGGGGAGACATACTCCACACCGATGTCAAATACATGGCAATGCTGGCTCTCTCTCGTCTTCTAAATCATAGCTTGACTTCTACCACTGTGGACACCTGGCAGTGGGCTACGTGTGGTCCTTCATCTCCTGAATGGGCCTGCCTGGCGGAGAAGAGGCCTGCACACTGGCCTCAGGAAACAGCGCTGTCAGAGGGGTACCTGTAGGTTGTATCAACGCTCAGGTTGGCTGCAGCTAACTCTGAAGGAGGTATCCAGGCAGGTAATGTGTTCCCAGCGACCCATTTTGTCCACTCAAACAAGCCAGGCTCCACACGGATCTTCAAGTGATTTTCTTGTTGTAAACCTTAGAGGTAAAACAAGATGAAGATGAAGGAAGGACCACTCAGTTCTCAGCGGCAAAGGAAATTAGAGGCCAAATTGTTACAAAAGTTCTGATGAATTTTCTAGTCTCCTTCCTACCAGATGCTGCATAGAGCTTAAAGAACGTAGAAGCATGTAGTTTTGGACGAGGGTTTTTAATTTTTGTGTGTTACAAACATGAGTGTAATAACTCTGGCCACACCACCAGGGTGTATGCCGGCTTTACATGGTATCTGATTTAAAAAAAAAATCATTATCCATCTAATTTATATAGCTCTGTGACTATAATTCCACTTTCTAAAGTAAGTTCTATTTTAAAAAAATAAGAAAGTAAGTTCTAAGACGTTCATATTAGGAAACTTCAGAAATTCTTACCATCCATTCTTCTACAACAGCTTTCATTATGCTTGAAGATCATGTAAATTACTCATTTTCCCTATCAGAAAATTCAGAGCCGAACATTCACCAGTGCCAGTGCACAAGCCCTGTGTTTTATCACAGTGCAGCTGTCCTCAGAGCAGGAATTGCCCCTGTTTAACTCCCTTTGTATTGCATGGAACCCAGGTTTTCAGTACAAATGTAATAAATAATACATTTGAATACATACATGCATTCTGGTTTCCTTAAGGTTAATGAAGAGAAGTCTCAAATATGGTCTAAATTCCTTGTTGGTTTAGCTATTTCTGGCTGTCAGTAAACAGTCAGCCCTGTTTCTTCTGGTTTTCCTTCCAGTGAAATGAGAATGCAGACCCCTGTCACACAAGCTTCCACAGGTTTTAGGGTGAAAGCTGAGTGTCTTTGTGACAATGGTGCTTTTGAAGTTAGTCCAGTTAACTAAAGAAACAAGGCTGATGAAGATCTGCAGACACCTAGGAGCACCATCGCTGCTGTAAACAGGAGGCACACAGAGCAGTGTGGGAGGAGACAACTTGAAGATCACACTCTGTAGGTTCTAAATTATTGCCAGACAACACAATGTTACAAGCCGACAATTGCCAGAACATTATTCGTATAGTCTCTTGTATCTCGCTTTTGCCTCCAGAGCATGATTTTGGGACTTCTGAAAAGTCATCTTCCAAGAGAATCATTCCTAAAAATGTTAGATGTGAAGCTTTCAATTGGCTAACGTAAGTCCACGAGTCTGGGATAATTGGGATGTGGGGTTGCCTAGAGACAGAGGGATGGACTCACTGACCTTTATCGAGCCTTACCTTTCAAGATGTTGTACGCAGTCTGAACGCAGCGCAGGGACGGGGAGCAGTAGACGTGGTCGATGACGGTGTTGCTCTCCAACAAGGCTTCGCCTGCCAGGGAAGCCAGAGAAGACGCAACCTGCTGATTTACGCAGCCCCAGCTAGACCCTTGGTGTGGGAGAGGGTGTCAGGTGGACCCTACAACCCTCTCCTTCCCGGTGGGGAGGCTCGCACAGAGCCGGCAGTTTCAGTCTTGTATCCAACAGCTCTCCCGACCAGTGTTTCTAAGCAAGAGGCCAAGGGACACACCCTTTCTTGTCTTTTGCTTTCTTTCTCTCTGGTCCTAACCAACAGTAAAATGTCCATCTCTCGCTCCTGGATAAAGTCCAAACACCTTACCACGACGGTCAAGGTCTTCCACGAGGTCTGTGTCCATCCCGCCAGCCTCGCCTCTTGCCCTGCTCACGATCTGTGCTCTAGAAACAGGCGGCTTGCTTCCTCTGTACGCTGCTTCTCACACCTGTGACTCGATGTTGTTCCTCCCACTGAGATGCCTTCCCGCCCTCCTGCTCCTGTAATACTTTGTACGTAGTTCTACTTGTGAGTAAACCATTCTCTATGATGTTTAGCCGCTCACAAGTTTCCCTGAAGGCAGGGGCTCACGTGTGGCTCTCCAGCATCTGGGCTGCACAAGGTAAGGGAGGAGCTGATGTGTGTTAAATGACTGAACAGGAAAGGCTGCCGTTTCTGCACGGCAGATATGGACCAGACCTGCAAAGAACTGAGCCTCTTCAAAGGATCAGCTGGCCTCTGTACTTTCAGTCCCTCCAGGGCTCCCTCCTCCTCACCCTTGCACTAGAAGTTGACCTGTCTGCCGCTCCAAGCCTGACCCTGCCCCGTCACCGGACCATGTGCCCCTCAATAGGGATCACACTTTGTTCACTTTGGGGAACCGACCCAGTGCCCTGAACCCAGTGGTTACATGATAAACCCTCTTTGAACTGAGGAAACAAGGTACTTGCAGGGAAGCCCTAGGCAGTGTTCTGCTATAATCACGGGAACCAGTCTTTGGAAGAAGTAGCCAGGGAAGGCGGTGTGATCACTCCAGGAGACTTACCCACTAATCTCGCTTGCATACATCCAAACACGGTGATTGGAGCATCTTTCTCGTAATCTCGGAAACCGCCACTGCGCGGAGGTAAGCTGTGCGGCATGTTCAGGTTGGTGCGTATGTAGCGGCCTGGAAAGAGAAGTCAGACCCAGGCGACATGAGTTCCTCCTTTTCTCAGCCCCTCCACTTCCACTCCTTTCTGGCCAAAGAGCTGAACTGCGCTCTCTAGGGAATATGGAGGCTGACACCCTTCCTTTGGTAGCGTATCTTGGGCAAGAGCGAGTTTTGAAGTGAAAGTAACAACCAGACACGCTAAAGCAGGGACGGTTCTCTGACACGCACCCCCCTCCATCTTAAGCATCTCACCCAAAGGAAACTGGAACCACAGTGAGCCAGGGTGACTTATGGGAGAGAACGCTGGCCATGGAATCAGGACGGTCTCTGCCTCTGACTTTGTCAAGACTGTGGGCAAGATGTCTGCCTTTTTTGGACCCTGGTGTCCCAGTTTATAGACTGGGGGCCAGAACACTTCTCGCTTCCCTAACCCTCCAATCAGGAAGGACTTACAGTGTAACAGACGACAGGCATTTGCTACGGCACAAGTACCCATACATGAGTCCATCTAGATAAATGCAGCTTGACTCTGCCCCCTAGAGGCCGTGATAGGTATGCCAATGCTGAGCAAGCCCACCGACTACTCACCTTTGGCATCGAAGCACTGGGATAGCCAGTACTTCCCAAACACAACATCCATCCTCTCACCGTGCCGACACACAAACAGGCATCTCTTTTGAGGACCATGCTGGCCGCTGACCCGCAGAGGCTGCAGAGAAAGGCAGGCGCTAAGTGGGGAAGCACACACAACAAAGGCGATGTGGCCCAGAGCCGGGTGCCGGGTGAGCTGGGCTTAGCACAAATTCTGCTCATGTTTGACGAAGTCCCTTAACTACCTGGGGTTTAGGGTGGCCTGTCTACAGGATGGGGGTGTAAGCCTCATCTGCTGACCTCACAAGTTATTTTGAGGCTCACGTGGGATGAATTGCAGGTGCTTTGCAAAATGAGAAGGGCTGTGGAAATGGTTCTCCTCTTCCTGCTGCTGTGTTGGTAGGCGTGGCATCTGGCCAATACCGAAACTGGACGGCCACGTGAGCGACAGCGCGGAGGTCAAACTAGCCGGCATGCAGACAGCGCCACCTTGTGGGACAGCCTCCTCCCCTAAAGAGATGCGTCATCAGCTTCAGGGAGCGAGGACTTCTAGCACCGTGAATACGTTCACTTCATCTCCACCATGTGGCGGTTAGAGCCCGTGGCCTGGCGTCTCCTTCAGCAAGGGGGGTCCTGCTTTGCCTTTTCTAATCACCGGTTAGGCTCTGCTGCCTGGCCGCACGCACCGTGGTGTTCCCAGAACTGGTTCCGGGAAGACCACGCCTACCTCTGGGTGATGAACTAGGCAGGCTAGTCGGGCTTGTCCAAACAGCTCGGTGTCTGTAACTGCTGGGTGGATCCTGGGGGTGCTCTGATGGAGCCAGCTCCCGTTGGCCAGCCCTCCACATCTGCTTCCAGGTGCCCTGTCAAGGGTCACCTGCGGGGTGGTGGCACGCTCTTCCTGCTCTCTTCTCCTGTAATTCACGCCCTGGGCTCCAGCTGATCTGATCGAGTCTCTTGATCCTCAACGTGCTCGCACTGTCGACCTGTTTCTGTCTTTATTGGTCAGAGCATCCTTCCTGCCCCGCTGCTCCACACTGCCACCTCTCTGGCATACATCGAACTTGCTTGCACACACTGAGAACTCACTGCGTGCCAGGTCCTGGGCAAAGGGCCTTATTCTTATTTCCTTTCATCTTCACAGTGGCCTATGAAATCCATGCTACAGTTGACCCTTGAACGACTCGGGTTGGAACTGCATGGGTCCAGTTAATACACGGATTTTTTTTTTCAAAAGTAAATACTAGAGTGCTATATGATCTGTGGTGTGTTCAATCTGAAGATGCAGAACTGTGCACCTGGAGGAGCCAGACTGGGTGGACAGAAGGCCAACTGTAAGCTCTACATGGATTTTCCACCGCACGGGGTCGGGGTGGGGAGGGCACTCCTAACCTCTGTGTTGTTCCAGGGTCAACTGCATGTCTACTCGCCAGATGCCATGCTCTCCTCGCCACGGAGCAGCCTTCCTCACCAGCCTAGACCCAGAGGCTGGGAGCCACTGTCAGCACCGCCACCTGACTCTCCCGAGCCTCGCATTTTTGTGTATCTTCGTTGATTTTGTGCCCTTTCTCCCTAAGAGATCAGTGACCATTTGTGGGCAGCACAGAGAGGATGTGGCCCTGCTGGCCGGCCTTACCTGGGGGGGCTGGCAGATGAGCGTGAGGGGAGTGGTGTCCCCCAGGCCCTGGTCCTCGTTCTGCCGCCTCTCCAACAGGCCGTCCCCAAATGTGAGTGCGCTGGAAGATGATGCATTTAAGATGGAGTAAGAACTGCAGAGGAAGACAAGGAAGATGTTAACTGCTTTGGCCAGGAGCCATCAACACTTCATCCTTGGGCTCAACAGGTGTGTGGGAATTAGGGGGAAACACGCCCCAGGGCAGCGCAATGGTTGGGAAGGCTGCCAGGGGGCGCCCATTCCTGGGGAGAAACATCTTCTAAAAACATTTCTATTGAAGTGTAACTGACTTACAATATTATATTAGTTTCAGGTGTACAACACAGGGACTTGATATTTTTCTAAGGAACATCTTGTCTTCTACTGAAGTCTTGCAGCTAATAAATTAGGGGTAGATGGATTTCTGTACTTGGAACAGATGCGTTCATCCCCCTGGGCAGGAGTGGGGCCTGCGATTTCGTGCTCATTAGGAAGCCGCAGGCGTGGCTGGCACCAAAGGCATGCTGCAGAATAATGAGGTATCAATTTTGTGCCATTGTTTCCAGCTATTTTTCTGGCCTCAAAGAAATAAACAATTCCTGTTGCCTTTAATCTTTTCCATGGTGATTTCCAGCTGAACTGGCAAATTAGAGGGAGGATTTTGACTGTCTGCACCACTCTGCCCGTGGCTCCGTAACGGCCAAGGAAACCTTGTGGACATTACCCCCATTCTACCTCCTTCGGTCTCCAAGCCCCTCTCCCCACCTCAGTCACACCTCCAACAAGACGATTCAATCCAGCATTTTTCCAGAGGAGACCCTTTCTCACCAGATGTGTAGTTTCGAGCCAAGAGCTCTCATTTCTGGATGTACCACTATAACTCCAGAAGCCCCCAAGGAGATCTTGCAAAAGACAGACAGCAAATCATGCCATGTTTGAATTATTTTGATTAGGAAGGCCTCCAACAAGCTTTATCTAATAAACATTGCAAATTCAAATCTGGTTGCTAGGCGAATCCAGCGGATGGCTCCTCATGCATCACTGAGCAGTGCCAAGGGAAAGGATTTAAATTTCAGATTTCTTGCTTCTTTACAATGAGGATAAAGTTCCATGCGTGCCCATCGCCCCACGTGGTCCTGGTTTGTACCTGCTGACCCAGCAACTTGTTCCGTTTCACATCTGTTCCAGATTATTTTTAACACAGTATGATTCTTAGAATTTTAGTTTTGAAAGGAACTTGTTATAGCCCCCAATGTAATAAAGCTAATTTGGGGGGAGGGTCAGTAACAGTTTTGTTTTTTAACTATGAGTTTAAGAATTGTATTGCCCTTTCACTCCTCAAGTGGCCAGTTTTCGGACCGCAGACAGACTCATCCCACTGTAGACGAAGCTCTCAGAAGCCTCGTACCCCTGGACAGGTGACATTTCAGCCCGGGTGTATATCAGAAGCACCAAGGGAGCTTTAAACACACATGCCTGGGCCCTACTCGTTACAACCGTGACTCGGCAGGTCTGGGGTGGGACCCAGGAGCCTACAGTTCCACAAAAAGCTGCATCAGTAAGTGTGACGTGCAGCCGCATGAGACCTATTATGGTAAATTTTAAGCAACTATAGCCTAAGGAAACCTCGTGCCACTCACCCAGTCTAATAGACCGGCTCTTTTCCTTTCTATTTAACTGAGACCCTCCCAAACATCAGACAGTGACGGAAAATTCAGCTTCCCTGTCTGACCTATCAAAGCGTCAGGGCCTCAAATGCCTGGCTGTGGAGCCATCCTGACTTCTTGCCTATAAGTGCTCCTTAATTTCCTGACTTGATTACAGCGGCATAGACACTGATAGAATCCCTTCTCTCTCTGCTTCGGCTCAGCTCTCCTCAGCTGTCACTGTCACCAAAGGACCTGACTCACTCTGAGACAGTTTGGGACTGTCAGTTCCAGTAAGACAGCAGTCAGAAGCTTCATACTGAGTGCAGAGGAGGGAAGAAGCTGCACCTGACATCATCTCAAGCATCGAGGAGAGGCTGGTACTTCTCTTGGACACACCAGGCCTGTGGGTAAGCCCAGAAGGACCGGCCAGCCCAGCCCAATTTAGGAGACACTGAGGGGCTTTCCCCAGCTGACAAATGTCTGGAGATGCTCAGAACCACACAAGATGCTCCAATAAGGGTGGGAGGAAAACATTTCCTTTGGACGGACTCAGAGAACTGAGGAAAGGGGAGGAGGAGTCGGGAAGGATCACCAACCCTACGTCCCTGCTTGTTGTCTGAATCCCCTCCCTCCACAGCTTCCCACCAAGCCAGCCAGGTGATGCTCAAGGACCCCTGTGGTTCTGCCTTCTCCAGGCTCTCTTTGATCAGGGGCCAAACAGCCTATCTTATAGCGAGCTGGGCTCTGCCTCTTTGAGTCATTCCCACTTCTGGGATTAAGTAGCAAAGTGCAGTTCTTCCATGGCATTGCGTTTGTGGAAGAAACATTTAATTGATGAGCATGGAAGAGAGGACTGGAAAAGCCAAGTTAGAAAAAAAGAATAATCATGAAGCTAATGGCTATTTCAGACACAGTGTTGTTACATACACGGCACTGATCCACAGAAAGCGAAGTCCTTTATCCCAGTGCTCACAATACCCCTATGAGGGAAGTGCAGTTATTTGTGCCATTTCATAGATTAGCAAACTGAGGCTCAGAGAGGTCATGTAACTTGGCCAAGGTCACACAGCTGGTGAGTGGGAGAGTTAGGATCTGAATCCAAGACTACCGGAATAAAAACTCAAATTCTTAATTGCAGTGTTCTAACACCTGATAAATTAATATTTCCCCACTCTCGACCAGGAAGCTGATTGTGTAATTTCAGGCATGGCTAGAAAATGACATCACTAGAAATCTCTCAAAATAAAGGGAGATGACACACAGAGCTCCCTGTGACCCGTGGACTGAAGTCTCAGGTCCCGCCATGCTTTGGCTAAGCTCTAACTTGGGCAAAAGTAGGTTTGGACACAGTGATCTGAAACGCATCCACAGCCCTTCACATACTTTCTCTCCCCCCAGGGAGCTGTACTTTTAAGAACGTGCTCTGGGAGCTGTGTATCATCGGATAATCTGCTGCTTCTCCGTTTATTCACATCTGTTGTGCTTCACTTGTTTTTCCAGGGATAAAATGGTGGCTTTGGAAAGGCAGTGTATTTAATTTGACCGTCAGAAACATTTCTAAAAAAGCAAATGTTTGGGGAATGTAAGACACCTTTGACCTTCCAATTTGTGCCACAAAATGCTGGATGTCCCTGGGGTGGGGGGTGGGGGGACCAGAAGCGGAAGGGTTGCTGGCAGGGGTTCTTAAGGAAGAAGATATTCTTTCCCGTCTTTGGGTTTGTGGTTTGTCTGCTTGCTGCTCACCAGGGTAGGGGACCTTCTTTTCTCCCTCCAGGCAAAACACTCACTGAAATTGCCCGTCTCCGCTTCTCTTTTATGACAGTAATAACAACGTTAGACCCCACGCAGCTGGGGCTCAGAGCTTCCGGCTCTCAGCCATGTGGGCACATGGCAAGCACAAGGGGGAGGAAAAACAAACCAGCACGCTCACCCCGGCGAGACGCCCGAGTGTGCAAGGGAAGGGCTGGCTTTGAACTTCTTGAATTGAGAAAGAGGAGGTGCCTTTTGTTCCTGTTTTATCTATCAGGACAAAGCTGGCCACACAACAAGGGCCACTCTCACCGTGAGGCCAGTTTGGTTTGGGGGCAAAATGGGAGTGAGGGATGGGTGGAAAGCTATCACTCTAAAGAAGACTTGGGTTTGGTCTCCTGACCTTTGCAAATCCTTTCACGCCTTATCTGGCTGGCACAGTGGGAATCTGTCCTCCCCTGGTGAGTCGGACCCCTCTGAGCGATGACCCAGGACAAAGTGGACAGAAACCCAAAAGCCATGAAGATTCAGCACTGGAACTACTAAATGACTTCAGCCAGAAGAGCTGGACCCCGGGCAGCCTCAGTTTAGTCTCCGGTCAGGAACTCAGACCGATGTCACATCAAATGGGGCAGGCAGAGGGAAGCAGGGGAATCCATCTCTCATTTTTTTGGCATGGCCCAGGTCAGCCCTTCCCTGAAAGTCTGGAAGCAATGGAACTTTCTTCCCCCCACGGACCTCATTTACTGTCACTGCTGCCCTGTGCGTCCCGGCTCAAGTCCGTTTCCCCGCCACCCCCTTAAAGTCCGCCACGGTCTTCAAAAAGCAGCGAAGAGCTTGGCGCCCGCTTACCCGTGGAATATCCAGGTGCTGCACTCGTCAGCCTTGGTGATGTAGTTCTCGGGCAGGAGTCCGGAGCAGCCGGTGGTTAAGGACGTGCCGTAGACCCAGCCCTCGCTGGTGCTGGTCTGCTCCATGGGAGACATGAAGATGAAGTCCCCGGGGACCAGCTCCAGCTCATCGTCGTTCTGCGGGGTGTACGGATAGATCACCTGCAACGTCTGGAAGAGGAGGAGAGGGGTGCGTGAGGCCCCCGCCTGACCTCTGGGTGTCTCCGGGGCCGTCCGCACGCTCGGCTCTACCAGGGCCCACATCCAGAGGCGGGCCTTTCCAGCCACCCCTGTGGTCTGCAGGCTCTGAGCAGACCAGAAGGCATTTCTTCTCTTTTCAGGGTATTATGAGTGTGTGCCTGGCGCTATGGGGCTGGTCCCAGACTACCCCTCAGGCATGTCTTTGCTTCAAAAGACAGGGTTATTAGAAATTCATCGGAAAACCCATAGGCTCTCCAGTCAACTGCAGTACAAACAGGGTTGGACCTAGTTTTCCCTGCTCCACCTGCAGAGGTAGGTGCTGTGACAGACCCCGGACACCCAGCTCACAGGAAGTGAGTGGAGAGGCTCTCCTGCAGGCAGGCTTTGGGAGTGAAGCATTCTCCTTTCTGTGTAATTTAGCTGCTTAAACAACACATCATCGTCCCTGCCTTCAAGGAGCTTTCTTTAAACCTCTGTTTTTAACAAAGACCTTGAAAGAAAAGCATCTTTCATAGCCATCAGTGGGTAAAGCCTGTGCGTAACCAGCTTTTGTCGGTGAACAGATGGAGACCACGTGTTCCTTCTTTGGGCTCAGGAAAAGCCCCCAGGGCCCACCTCAGGCTGTGCCACTTGGCTGATTTATTCAATTTCTTGCCTCCTTTTCTGCTGTACATAACACCCCAGGCGTAGGCATGAAGACTTTGGAAAACATTCAGCTACTTTTTTGTTAACAGCAGGAGACCTCAATAGTCAGGAAAATACTTTCTATCTGGTGTGTTTCACGAGGGGACACTGCGACGGAGCTCTTTTATCAGCGTTTCCAACTGTCCTGAAGCCACTAGCGGCCGGCTAAGTATTCTGGTTCCCACCATGTACAGGTTTTGAACTTTGGCCTCGGTTTTCTCAGCGTCTGTAAAATAACACCTGGATTATAAGAGGTAAATGAGACAATCTAAGGAAACTCCTGAGCACGCTGGTACACAGAAGGGGCATAATAATTTCTACCGAACCATGACACTTGGCTTTCCAGGGACTTTCTTCCGTCTCGCTGACGCTGACACCTGACCCCGGTGCTGGATAGGCTTGTGAGCTAGTCAGCTCCCCAAGGTCAAGGTGGGCCATTGGAACACATCATAAAGAATTTCCTTCTGGAAGTCTTCAATGAGAGGAACCAGTAAAAACGTGATTTTTCCCCCCAGAGAATGAACGTGATCATGCCCAGAACTTAACCGGCACCCCTGGATTTCGGATGTTCCTTTTATTTAGGGCAACCGTTTCTTTCCCTAAGTCTCACTCCGGCATCTTTCCGCTCAGACCTTCTTGCCCTCTGCTCACCTCCCCACGCCTCTGCCACCTACGCACTCCAACCACATTTGCGGACTCCCTGGAGAGGCTTTCTGCTGGGTGGTTGGAACAGCTTCAAGAAAAAACATATGCCCAGGAAATCCCTCAAGTCTCTAAGCAAGGTGTGTGATGACCCACCAAGAGGAGCATTCCTTTCACGGGACAGGGGGGGAGTCCGGGGAACAAGTCTAAACGCAGGCTCCGGAGATACTCAAGCACCAGCAGAGTCTTGGCTAATAATGCCTTTGGCTCAGCAGTGCTTTTTCTTTGAGAAACTCAAAAATGACTTCGGAGAGGACCCCATGCCTCCTTCCACTTGGGGGCGGGTAGCTCTAGGACTCCTCCAGGGAAATCAGGGCACAGAAAGGAGCGCAGAAGACCTTGTGTCCTGGGCAGAGAGGAGTTGGAAATAAGCAGCTTTGATTAACTGAATAAGCAATAAAAAGTGAAGCAAGGCGCAGCAGCAGATCTCAGGTTGTAACTGGTGTCTCCGTCCCCGCAGCCCTTTCCCGCTCACCAGAGGCGTGTGCGGAAGTCGGCCCAGGTTTGAGGGATATCAGGACGCGTGCCTGGTTTTGCAGTATGTGATACTCTTAGTTTACATTTAGCATCTTCTTGTAAGAATTCCCGAGTCTGTCTCCAATAGGTTTTCCCTCCCTTCCTACTTGGGGCCTGAACTTAGGGTTGGCTGACCGGTGTCCGGGGAAGGGTGGCCACAGCCCTGTGTGACGACAGGAACTGACCCTCCTTGTCTCTGAAGCCCTTCTTACTGTCAGTAACAATGACACCTGCAGCACTGTGCTGTCATTGTCGCTGTGTCCTGTCTGTGCTGGCTGTTATGGTAGGGCCTTTCCCTGCATCCTCCATGGTCCACACCACAGTCCAGCCAATTATCATCACGGTCAGGCACATAAGACAACCAAGGACTGAGGGCTTCTAGAGGCTGGGAGAGTGAATCTGACCCCTGCTAACATGAGGGGGCCAGTGTGTCTAAACTCCAAAGTGCATGCTGTGTGTACACCTCTGTCCCTCCTCCAGGTTTGTATTGCTTGGCACAGAAAACCGGTAGGCGCACTGGAATCACTAACCTGGAAGAGACGCCGTGAAGCACGAGCAGCCATGCGCACGCCCACGTCCAGCAGAGGGCTGAGACCCAGCGTTTTCCTAAGCTTCCCTTGCTGTGTGTCCCAGCCTAAACCGCGCGCCTTCTCTGGACATCTGTTACATCACTGGCACGATCGATCAACCCTGCCTCTCAGGCACAGGGGAGGAGGAAGGCGGGGCAACGCTGCCATGTGCAGGGAGGCTCAGGTAAAGCCTAATGACCTCAGAGGGGGAGCGGTATCGGGAGGAACAGTAATAAATGAGCTTTTACAAATAAGAGATAAAAGAGGCCATGTTATTTTTAGAAGATAATTCATGGGGCGCTAGCCGCCTCCTTCCCTCAGTGCCAAGTGAGCGGAATGTGGGTCAGGCAAGAAAGCAATTACCCTTTGCGTTAACTGGAGGGCAGTGTTGATTCGAAGATACTCCTCGGAAAATTCCACTGCCACCTTCCTTCCGCTGGAAAGGTGACTTCTCTCAGTCCCTCTGCACACCGCCCTTGACTTTTTTTTCCTCTGCCCTCGGAAGGAATCCAGTCAGCCACACCTCTCTCGTTCTATTTACATCCTGAGCAAATCCAGGAGATGTCAGAATTCTGCAGTGAGATTAAGCCCAGTCTCCTTGCTGTGTCTTTACTGGCATCAGGTGCCTGGAAGGAGGGCCTGACACTCCCATCAGCAGAGTCAGACGAAGCTGCCGGTCCCTGCCACTCCCCGGCCCCGGGCCCAGGCCTGGACCTCTCTCAGGGGTTGGCTCTTTCCAACACTTCCAAAACAACGGTGAGGTCTCCTGGCCTGGACCCTGCGTTCTGAGCTGTTTCTTCTATTTAAAATATCTAGGAGAGATGTTAAAAGGCTACGTAAACTAACAAAAACATCAGTTCTGCTGCTGGTGAAAAATCAGGAAATACAAGCGTTGTTTCATAAGTGTAGTTAAACTGGATGATAATTTTTGCAAACTATGTGCTCATTTTTTAGACGGCTTGCCCATCTTTATTGGTCAGAACCCCTGGATTCTCTGGCTTCAATTCTGGTCCTAAATTGCTATTTAAGCTTTAGACCAGCTGCCTCATTTCTTTGCGTCTCAGCTTCTCCTTCAGGAAAAAAAGGACAACCTGACTTTGAGAGATGGCACGTGCTTGTCCTGGAAAACAATGTTGATTCTCAAAAGAAGGATGCCAGGGCCCGGCCAGTCTCTCCGCCTGCAGTGGGATTCAGCTTTCCCCCCCTTGCCTCCCACGAGATGCAAACAAAGTCTCACAATATGTGGCCTGTGCTTCCACCACACGGGTGCCTGTTCCCTTGTCCCCACTGGACTCAAACTCTTTGAAGACAGGGCCACATTTTAAAATTCTAATCTGTTCCATGGTAACTTGCATGCCACAGAGACTCAGTAAATATCTGTTGACTCTGTGTTCAGAGATGTTTTTTTTGGTATTTAGGCGTTCTCCTCACCGAAGATCAGGCTGATATCTATTAATTCCATGAGCTGATAGAATATTTTAAAATTTCCCAACATAACTTTCCTATCTATTCTCCCACCTTATTTCTGTATCATTCCGGTAAGGTTGGCAGTGCAGACAGAACACTGGGGATATTACACCTCTGAGCCACTTGGGACCCAGAGCGGAAGGACCAAGCTCAAAGCTTGCCAGTGAGTCGGCCGGCGGACTCCTGGTCCAGTGCTCGCTGCATCGCTTTCCTTGGTGTGCATCTCCCCGCAGCTGCAGCTGCTCCCGGTGCTGACTACGCCCCCGGCCCCCTGGCAGAGGCAGGAGGCAGAGTGAGACCTTACCTCATGGTTAGCAAATCGGATATCCCGCGAGAATATGGTAGCCACCCAGTCGCACCCGAGTTTGACATCGATGTTCTGGGCTAGTTTCTCTAGGGTGGGCAGGTGGCTGGCTTGGAAGTGGTAGGCCAGGGTCACGTGCAGCTGTTTCTTGTGAGGTTCCACGTGCACTTCTGGAAGAAGGAAGGAAACAGGCAGCTACTGAATGTGGTACTTGGAGCAACCGCGGAGACACAGGGAAGAACACAGAAAGGTGTTCTGATAAATCTGCTTCCCACATAGCGAAGGAGGGAGTCCCTCTGTCAGAACAAAGCTGCTTCTCTTCTTCGCAGCAGCAGAAAAAGGAGGGGGGTGGGGGGGGTAACAACCCCCAGTCCCAGAGAGAGAGCGCTGCACGCCTGGCTTTTCTGTAGGAGCAGTAGCTCGGCTGAGAGCTAATCATTTTGGTCGGCAGCTCCTCACCACAGCTCCAGCTGATCACCACCCCTGGGCCCCATTCAGAGGAGGAAACCAAGACTTAAAGTGATGAGCTAATTTATGTAGAAATAAAGGGCACATTTTGTAATTGTGTGACTCTCAAAGCTGTATTGCCTTCATTCTGAAATCAAGGCTCTTAGCTTCTGGGTGGTTCTGATGGAGAAATCAGCCAAAAAAAAAAAAAGATGCATTCTTTTCAAAGATTAAAACAGGGTTTCTCAACATCATTTTGGGTCAAACAGCTCTTTGTTGTGGGCGCTGGCCTGGGCATTACTGGGTCTTTAGCTGCATCCCTGGCCCCTACCTGCTAGATGCCAGGAGTGCCCCCCTCCCCAAGCTGTGACAACCAAAACAGCTGACTCCAGACATTTCCAAATCACCCTGGGGGGCAAAGTCACCCCTGACCAAGAACCACGGGCTTCAAGTATGCAGGCTGTTATTCTAAGACACCCTAAAAACCAAACCAAAACCAATCAGCCTACCTGCACAGGGCAATGACTTTTATTCTTTTTTGTACGTCTTTCAGTGGGGGAGTCACCTGCTGTCCAGGCTAGAACACCGGAGAGGATGCAACCAGAGGGAACTTAGGGAATTCCAGAAACTAGGGGGCTCTCGACTCACACAGAGCTAGAAGTAGAAGTCGGATCTCTGGTTGTGAGCGCTTTTTTCTGTTGTCCTGCCCTGCGTTCCTTTGGTGTAAGCCCCCTGTGGATGCGAGCGCCCTGTGTCCTGTTCACAGATTTCCCCCACGCTCAGCACACCACAGGCTTTTTGTTCAAGGCATAAATGTACACAAACGAACCTACTTAAGCCACCAAGGATGGAAGAACACAGTCCATCCACACACTGACGGAATCTGGGTCTGCCACACCTCTGAATACCAAGGCACGGACGGGTTCTAAGGTGAAAACCTGGAGGCCTGCTTTCTGGGCCACCCAGTTCTCCCAGTCACCACCAGGGGGCAACATGAGGGCCGAGAAGCCGGCCGGCCAGTCCCCAGAGCGTGGCTGCAGATGGTCAGGGAGGGGCTGGAGGGAAGCCAGCCAGGGCCCTACTGCCTCTCCCTGGATCCGGGCTGGAAGATTGGGCCATGGCCCTGGCCGAGACCTGCTTTACTCACTGGTGACGGGTTTGGGTTTTGTGGCTACAAAGGACATTAGATTTGGTCCTTGGGGGGGTTTTAGTGGTTTTGACAAGGGCTACTGCGGGATGATGACGAGCCATTTCCCTGCGGTGGGCGGACGGGAGCAGGGAATTGCCTGCCTGTTACCCATCTCTCTGAATTACTGAGCTCCTGTGACGCGGCGGGCTTCACTGAAGTCAGAGAGCAGAGACCATCCCCGGGGATGAAGGGGTCAGGGGTCTAGGAAGACGGGGCTCCCTCCCGATGGACAGAGGTGATTTAAGGGCCCAGTTTCTTCTGGGAGGAGACCTGGCTGTGGTCCTGCTCAGGGACGCGGGCCTCACCACACTCTTCCTGCAGTCCTGGGCCTTGTTTGGGGCTTTTCTGTTAAAGGACACTGAGCACAAGGGCCCCGGTAGGGGATGAGAACAGCAAGGGAAACGCGTCCAGCACTCAGGACCCCGCTGTGCAGCGCACGCCCTCCGCTCTGGCTAGGGGGCCCCCGCACCATCCCCTGCTCCTTCCTGCCCGTGGCCATGCTGCCTGCCCTCCTCCGGGGCTCTGCTCCCACCTGAGGGGTCAACATCTTCCCAAGGTGACTTTGCTTTATTCTGGGAAGGTGGTACCCCACCTCCACGACCCTGATGGGATGGTGGCCTTTTATCACATGGGGCCTGCATCGGGTTTCCCAAATGGGCCTCTGGCCTCTAATTCCCTGTCGCATTCCTCACCCGTAAACACACGGTGGGGGCCCGAGCAACACCTGCTGACTGCGACTTTGTTCTAAAGGGAGCCAGTAGCCGCCCTCCACCCCGCTGTCCGTCTGTCCATCTGTCCCTGCGGGTGAGGCTCTTGCTGAGCCCCGAGCCGTCTGCGCCTGTGGTGCAGCGCTGCCGGCTTCTGCCTCTTGTCCCCTCTCCGTGCCTCCGCCTTTAAGTCAACACACACCCTGAGTGACCCTCAAAGCTTATTCCTTCGACGGTAAACCTCAGCTGTTGGCTTGAACTGAGAGCTGCCAGAAGAGGTGACATCATGAAGGGGTGACTTTTGGGGACAGACCTTTGAAGCTCAGGGGCGTAACTCATGGGCTTCAGCAAGCTGAAAGTTGTTGGCCCAGTGGATTTGATTACTATCGGAAGCTGCGTAGTTCTACTCTCCTCTCGGTGCTGTGCGGCCCCCCAGCAAAGGCCAGGGTCCTCACAGAGGGGATGGGGAGACCCAGAAAATGCCTCCCCTGAAAGGGGGTGGGGAGGAGGAAAGGAAGGTTCCTTAATCCTTAAATGGGAGGCAATGGAGGTGCTACAAAGGAACACGTCCATAGTTCAGTGGGGAACATTCCAGTGCCGTTGACGTGGGTGTCGGGGAGCAGGCATTGGACCTGCTCTCAGAGAGGCTGGCAGAACGGTAGTTTAATACTTTTTAAAGGGAGCAGGAGGTGTGAGGTCCTGCAGGAAGGGGCCGTGTACTTTGCCAGGTCCTGCCCAGTCCTGCAGGGCCTCCTGCCTCCAGCCCACTCCTCCGCCACCTCTTCCCATCCCTTTCCTTCCCGACTTCTTGGCTCACGCGCCCCGGGCCGGCCTGGCAGCTGTGCCAGCTCACCGGTTTTGGAGGCAGCCTCTGCAGCAAAGTCAGCGGCAAACTTCTTGAGGACCTCTGCGCTGTCTTCCTTCACGAAGAGGCCGATGAAGTTGGAGGAGGTGTAGAGCTCCAGGGGCAGCGGGGCTGAGAACTTACACTTCCAGCGGCTGACCGTCGTCTGCAGGGCCTCCCCCAGGGCGTCCACCTTGCTGTCCTCACACTGGCAGGGAAACAAGAGGCTTCGTTCAGCGACAAGGGGAGAGAGATGTCTGGTATGACTTAAAGCTTGGCATCCTCTGCCCAACGCCGGGGGCCGATGATGCAATGATTAAACCACCGCGTCTGGTCTGTGAGGAAGGAGGAGACCTGCAGGCTCCCAGTTACCTGGGGATGGATTATCCAGCTGGGCAATGGATGACCTCTCCCCTCTCTCCCTGCCCTGACGTGCTCCTCTGAACTCAGCCAGCATGCAGCGGGACTGGTCCAGCAGAAAGGGAGCCCAAGGGACGTGCCAGGACAGTGTATAGCACCCCAGGATAAGTTGTGTATTTTCCACTGTTCTGCATCAGAACAGAAAGAAAGGGCACAATTTCTGTTCTGCTTAGATGATCAAAAGTTGACTCCGCTTCCACCCCCAGGATGCTTGGGAAGAATGAGGCTCCGAGAGCTGTAACATCCTTCTCCCACCCTCTTCAGAGCACTGGGACAAAGAATGAGATTGTCTAAAACTCTGAATGCTTTTGAGAAAGATCCTGGGATGACTAAGAGGAAATGATGATCATTTTAATTTTCAGCCTGAACGGTGAAAGAGAAGGTGTGAGGAACAGATTTTCACCTATGAAAGGAGGGTGGGGGTGGGAATATGAATGAGATTCTGGAAAAACAATCCAAAATATTAGACAAACATATTGTCTTAAAATGCTACCATTCTGCCTCATCGTGACTCTAGCTGGAGAAATCAGTTCTTCTCCGTCTCTGCAGAGAGCCGAAGTAGATGAAATGTATTTACATTTATTATAACGAGGGGGATTTAGTGCAGTGGTTAAGCTTCATGACAGCTGGAATTATGGACTAGGGGACGATGCTGGGTGAGAGGTATCTCTGCCACCTCTAGAAAGATGGAGCAAAGCAAAACCTGTGGACAGTGTCCACGCGGCTCAAGTCACCTGCCCCGTCTACAGTCTCCGTGTCTCCTCCCCAGCTCTCTGACGGCTGCTCTTTCCTCATGAGGGGGGAGGGGCAGACAACAGATGGGGTGAAGCGGGGTTAGAGAATCTGCTCCCTCTGCGGCTGCCAGGCAGTGGGGCGGGGTCCCGAGGAGCACGCTGTGGCCATGATGCTACCACACTGGACCCCGAATGCTCCTGGGCCTCTGCAGACAGGAGAAAGGCAGGCTGGGGTGAACAGCCACAGATGCCACTGATTCCTCGAAGGCTCCTCCAGCTCTGGAGCCCGTGACCCTTGCTGGCCATATCCTGACAGGCTCCCAGGGCTGGTGGGATGCGGGCATCCAGGACTGGGCAGGGCTGTGGCGGCGTGGCGGGGCGGGGGCGCTCACCATGAAGAACTGGCAGAGGGTGATGTGGGGGAAGATGTTGTGCGCCTTGTTCTTGCCACAGATCTGCTTTGACTGCTGCCAAAAGTCGGAAAGCTTCTGTGCTAAGGGGCCGGTGGGGCGGAGGTAGAGGACGTACTCCCGGGGCAGGGGGTCATCCAGGAAGGGGTCGCCGACGTGGGAGAACAACCTGCCAGAGAGGAGGGGACCGAGCAGGCGTCACTTGAGATGAGGGAAGCAAAGGAAGAACTGAAAGAGAGCTCCACCCTGGGCAGGCCCCACCCCCAGCCCTCCCCCAGCCCTGCGAGGGGAAGGGTTTTCATCTTTGTGCTTTAAAAATCTACCCTTTGTATCTGCTAACCCCACACACCAGATGCTAACACGACATTGTACATCAACTATACTTCAGTTAAAAAAAAAATCTGCCCCTTGAAGCTCACACCTGGTAACCAGCTCTCGGGGGCGCCGAGTTCTCTTCCCCTGCCTGTCCTAGCGCATTCACACCCCACAGCTCCCTACAAAAATCCAGAAGCTGCTCTGCTCTCCAGCAAGCATTTCAGATAAACTTCAAACTGTTCCCAGTCCACCAGGACCGGCCCGGCCTGGCCTGCCCCTCTAGTGCATCTACGATTAAACCCAGGTGCCTCCAAAGATAAGGGGGGGGCTTCGGGATGGTCGCCTTCTGGGGTCGGCCCTGGGTAGTGATATCCTGGAAGGTAAATAGGATGTTTTTAATCAATTTGCCCAGGATCTAAAGTGGATCTTTAAGTGCCTGGAGGGGGGTGGATACCATGATGGGGGCTCTATCTTAGAAATGCTTTGGATTTCTTGAAACAGCTCTGAGGAGAGCACACACGGGGCCAGGACAGAGGCGGCAAATGGCTTCATCCCTGGGCTTGTCACATGGTCTTTTGACTCCCCTCCCCGCCGCAAGGTCCTGTTTGACAGGCTGCACATCCCTGCTCATCCATAGACACTTAGAGTTAATTACATGCTATTTTCTCTATTTATTTATTTCATACCAACCAGTCACATGCCGCCTGAACACTTCTTCCTCCTGTGGATGCCAAGGCTTTTTGTCTGGAAGAAGAAACCAGATTTCTATTATTAGTATTTTTAGCCTCCTATCTGCTTTTCTCACTGCACTGGCAAGAGCTGGGTGTGCAGCAGGGTGTCAGGCCTACTCAGGGGCATAGGGGAGACACCTGCAGCAGGACGACTCCCCAGGGGTCACAGGGATGTTGGACTTGTGATTAATTTCCATGTAATTAGCACTGGATTTGCATGCAGCCTGACAGCCCATGCCGTCTATTTTTAGTTATTTTCACATCAGACTTTTATTTCTGCTCCCTAAAGGTTGCCATGTCTCACTTTTCCCTCCTTCCCTTTCACCCACTCCCTCTTCCTGACCCAGATCCCATACAGAGCATTTCTTACCCGCAGCCCCTTGGCAAAGTGTGTTTGAAAGCGGTGCTGAGGGCATTAAGACTTGAGGCTAGATGCCCACAAGGACAATTAGTTTGGTTCAATCCAGTGCCTCTTCCCACCCGCCTCCAACCACCACCACCCGCCTCAGATTGGATCCATTGTCTCCAGCTATTTCACAGACATCTTTCGGGACAAGTAGCCCTGGGTAAAAGAGTATGCCGGAGGAGAAGGGCGGCTGTCACTCCCACTGCTGGAGAGACAAAGCCCTGTGAATGGTGGGGCAGTGTCACAGGGTGGTTCTCGCCATGAGTCATAGCCCAGTGCACAAGCATGTAAGTAGAGCAATTCTGAAACTTCAGACTGGTCTCCAAAAGCCAGACAGTTCTGGGTTTGCGTCCAGCTTCGCTATTTGCCCATCCACTCATGCAGTCAAGTTTGTTTGTTCAAATTATACCTATCGAATTACTATGACTTTGTCAGCACCGTGCTAGGCTCTAGGAATACAGGACAAAACAAGACTTATATGGGCCCTGCCCTCGTGGAGTTTTCAGTGGAGCAGGCGTGACAATGTTAATTGCCCAGATGGTTATTTAATTACGTTAGTGGTCAGTGCAACGAGGGGAGAGCACACTGGACAGGGAGGTGGGGGGGGGTTCAGCAGGGAAGCGGCATTTCAAGTGTGGCCTGAAGAACGTGGGCCCCCCAGGTAGAGGTGGGCTGTGAGTGGGGGCTGTGGGGGCAGGAGACACCTAGTTCCTCTCTACAGTGAGGAGCATTGAACAGTGCCTGACACCCTGGAGGCGATCAGTAAACGATCATTCCTGTCCCTTTATGATGCACCAATTCAGGGTCCGTGGGAGAGAGAAGAGAGGGGAGGAACTTCTAGTGTAAACCGATGCTCTTTCCAAGCATCTTTTTCCCAACTGGCTGCTGAACCCAACTCCTCCTTCCTCATCCCTTCTTGGAGCAATGAGAACCGCTGATGATGTGATGATGACCAGAGATCAACTGGAGGCGCAACACCTGGCTTCACACAAGGCAAAATTCAGGCGAAGGAGGTCAAGGCTACACCGGAGGCTTCAGCCTGGTTCGAGGCCAGCCATGGTGGTGCTGCTCCACCACCCAAAGAGAAATACTTTCCTTTCCTCCATGAAAATCTGAGCACAGATACCAAATGACCAGAATAAGGAAAACTGCACAACTGAGTAGAACAGCATCCTAGAAGACAAGCTACTTACAGTAAGATGAGGTTTTGCAAAAGCAAGACAGACTCCTCGGAACCCCTCGGAACAGAAGCTGGTGCGGAAAAGGCGGGAAACACAGGGAACCCCCTCTTTCCCGCCACACATCTCACTTTTTTCAGATCCTGAAGCCATGCACCCACAGAAGAACACAAAGCATGGCCTTTTAGAGGTTAGACTCTCCGAGGGATTAAGGTCACCAAAAAAAGACTTATTGTTTCAGAAACAATTGGGAAAAGGAAAACTCATTTGTGGTCCAATATGCTATTTATATAAGGATCCAGTTTCTTTTTTCGAGGCTCTTCCCCCAATGAAATATATCTGACTGAAATTTACTTTACTTTTCCTTAACACTAGGAATATATTCCTTTGGAAATGAAAAAACTAATTAAGTTATGGTCCCTGTAACTCTAAAGACAAGTTTTGGAAAGGATTCAAAGATACAATTGAGATAGATAGATAGATAGAAGGTTTGGGGGATAAGGCTGTGGAGAAATGTTAAGGAGACCCAAGTTCTTTCTGAAGACGAGTCTGAAAGGGCTTCAGTTTTGTGTCTGGTTATCATATCTGATGTACCTTCTCCGATGAGGGTACAAAAATAAGCTCTGGCTACAACACAAAGGACTCCAGTTAGACACCAGAAAGAACTTCCTGGCAGCAACGTGCTATAAAAGTGGTTTTTTGTTTGGCTTTGTTTCTAGGAAGTTGTTACCGATCTGAAACAGGTGTGTGATTCTTGAGGCAGGAGGCCGTAGGAGGAGGAACAGCCCTGCTTCCCAAGGGTCACAGCCACCGGCAGAGCTGCTGCCTCACCCACTGCCAGGCTGACGGCGGTTTGGGCTGAGTTTGTTCCCAGAACTCTGCCCACAGAACAGACTGCACACGGGCAGGGGCAGAACACATCTCCCCGCTCCAGCCCCCTGAAGAAAGACTGTTACCATAGAGTTCCCACCTCCGTGGTCCATCCGTGGGGCCAATGCCAAGAACAGTGGGGTGTGTGGGGTGGACCCCAGAACACCAGGCTGAGCCTAAACAGCTGCTACCCTCAGAGTGACTCAGCCACTGGCAGAGCCTGCTGGGGACCTTGAGCAGAAAAAGGGGGAGTATCCCTGTCTACTCAAAGGAGAGCAGTCCAGCCACTGGATTATAGCAACCAGTGATTCAGGTGGGACTGCCATGGTTGGAATCAGCGGACAGCTGAACTACTGTAGTTCTATTACATGAGAACACGAATTTGACGCTTGACCCTGGTCCTAATCTTCCCAGTTACGTCTAGGGTTCACTCTTGGTGGAGTGCAAAAAAAAAGAACCAAAACCAAAACAAACCCTTATGCCTCCTAATGATGGGGAAGAACAGCATAAATCATATAAAAGCCATGGCTCATCAAAAAATCGAGCAAGCAGCTGCAAGGAAATTAGCCAGCTGGGGGCGAGTGGGCAGCACCCACTGATTGCCTTGCTTCACTCCGGGGGAGCTCCTCCCAGCTCTGCAGAGTTCTGGGTTCGCGGTGGCTCTGGCCCGGGGCCACGGCTCTACCCTACCACCAGGGTCACAGGTTGCCCTCTTCCTTTCCCTTTCCACCTGTGGGAGACCAAGCACAGCATCACTTCCCCCTCCCGCCTGCCTTCCCTCCTGCTTTTCCTCCTTCCTAATCTCTTTTTTCCCTTCTCCTCCCAGGGACCTCTTACCAGGAAACCAAATGTAAACCAAAGATAAAACCCAGAGTTGATCAAGTGTCATCACTTTCTGATCTAAAGTTTGATATGCAAATCAATGTGATATACCACATCCACAAAAGAAAGGACAAAAACCACATGATCATCTCGATAGATGCAGAAAAAGTATTTGATAAAATTCAACACCCATTTATGATAAAATCTCTTACCAAAGTGGGTATAGAGGGAACATACGTCAACATAATAAAAGCTATTTATGACAAACCCACAGCCAGCATAGTACTCAATGGTGAAAAACTGAAAACTTTCCTGCTAAAATATGGAACAAGACAAGGATGCCCACTCTCACCTATTCAACAGTTTATTCAACATAGTCTTGGAAGTCCTAGCCACAGCAATCTGGCAAGAAAAAGAGATAAGAGGGGTCCAAATCGGAAGAGAAGAGGTGAAATTGTCACTATGTGCAGATGATATGATACTGTATATAGAAAACCGTAAGCTCCACAAAAAAAATTACTAGAGCTAACAAAAGAATTCAGTCAGGTAACAGGATACAAGACTGACATTCTAAAATCAGTTGCATTTCTTTACACTAACAGTGAATTAGCATGAAAAGAAAGTAAAGAAACGATCACTTTTAAAATTGCATCTGAAACAACAAAATACTTAGGAATAAATCTGACCGAGGAGGTGAAAGACTTATACTTGGAGAACTACAAAATATTGATTAAGGAAATTAAAGATGACTTAAAGAAATGGAAAGATATCCCATGTTCTTGGAATGGAAGAATCAATATCATTAAAGTGGCCATACTGCCTAAGGCAATCTATAGATTTAATGCGATGCCTATCAAGTTACCCAGGACAGTTTTTTTTGTTTTGTGTGTGTGTGTGTGTGTGTGTGTGTGTGTGTGTTTTACAGAATTAGAACAAGTGATCTCAAAATTTATATGGAATCACAAAAGACCCAGAATTTCCAAAGCAATACTGAAGAAAAAGAATGAAGCTGGAAAAATAACCCTCCTAGACTTTAGACAATACTATACAGAGCTAAAGTAATCAAAACAGCATGGTATTGGCATAAAAACAGACATATGAATCAATGGAATAGAACAGAGAGCCCAGAAATAAATCCACAGACCTATGGTCAATTAATCTTCAACAAAGAAGGCAAGAATATACAATGGAGAAAAGACAGTCTCTTCAGAAAGTGGTGTTGGGAGAACTGGACAGCAGCATGTAAATCAGTGAAGTTAGAACACTCCTTCACTCCATACACAAAAATAAACTCAAAATGGCTTAAAGACTTAAATATAAGACAAGACACAATAAATCTCCTAGAAGAAAACATAGGCAAAACATTCTCTGACATAAATCTTAGCAATGTTCTCCTAGGGCCGTCAACCCAGGCAATGGAAATAAGAGCCAAAATAAACAAATGGGACCTAATTAAACTTATAAGCTTTTGCAGAGCAAAGGAAACTATAAGCAAAACAAAACAACAACCTATGGACTGGGAGAAAATATTTGCAAATGATGTGACTGACAAAGGCTTAATTTCCAGAATATATAAACAGCTCATACAACCTAATAACAAAAAACAAACAACCCAATTAAAAAATGGGCAGAGGACTTAAAACAAGCAATTCTCCAGTGAAGACATACAAATTGCCAACAGGCACATAAAAAAAATGCTCAATATCACTAATTATCAGAGAAAAGCAAATCAAAACCACAATGAGGTATCACCTCACACCAGTCAGGATGGCCATCATTCAGAAGTCCATGAGTTTAGACACAGAATACAAACTTGCGGTTGCCAAGGGGGAGGGGGATGGGAAGGGATAGACTGGGAGTCCAAATTTGTAGATACTGACAGGCATATGTAGAATAGATAAACAAAATTATACTGTATAGCACAGGGAAATATATACAAGATCTTGTGGTAGCTCACAGAGAAAATAAATGTGACAATGAATGTATGTATGTTCATGTATAACTGAAAAATTGTGCTCTACACTGGAATTTGACACAACATTGTAAAGTGACTATAACTCAATAAAAAAATGTTTAAAAAAAAATCCATGAGTTACAAATGCTGAAGAGGATGTGGAAAAAAGGGCACCCTCCTACACTGCTGGTGGGAATGTAGTTTGGTGTAGCCATTATGGAAAATAGTATGGAGATTCCTCAAAAAACTAAAAATAGACTTACTGTATGGTCCAGCAATCCCACTTCTCGGTATATATCCAGATGAAACTCTAATGCGAAAAGATACATGCACCCCAATGTTCATAGCAGCACTGTATACAATAGCCAAGACATGGAAGCAACCTAAATGTCCATCGACAGATGACTGGATAAAGAAGTTGTGGTATATTTATGCAATGGAATACTACTCAGCCATAAAAACGAATAGAATAATGCCATTTGTAGCAACATGGATGGACCTAGAGATCATCATTCT